CTCCTCATCTCTATCATAAATGGTCTACCCTAAATCCTCGTGCTGTGACCCCTGGTTCTGGACACACCCACAATCCCAATACAATGGGCTTTTAAAGATGGCACGAGCTCAAGGGATACCAGTGTTTTGGCAGCTATCAACTGAGTATCGAGTTGTTTTGAGAAGGGCCCATGGTAAGAAGGGGCATAAATTGGACATGAAAGATGCCGTGGGGCGTGGGAAGTAATTAAATAGGTGGGTTTAAAATAGGGCAAGAAAATCCAATCGGCCTCATGGTGAGAAACCTTCCAAAAAAACTCAATGCAACTTGGACTGAGCCAAAAATAATGTATGATTCAGCCCTAAATTTTTGTATTTAAAAAGAAACATCCTTTAGTTTCAAAACATGTAAATGTTTTCTTCCAGCAGAAGCTGGTCTGTTGATTCACTGGTGAGTCACTGTGCCCCTGTGTCTCAAATAGCTCCATTCATTTTAAACTTCCTGACTTTCACCAAATCAGAAGCTAACTTATGAGAAGTCTATTCACAGCCCTTGAGACACTTCTGCAATTAAATTGAGCTATATTTTTTGTTGGACTCATTACTTGACATCCTTATCTAACAAAAACCTATCAATGTCATTCTTGAAAATTTCATTTGACATAGAATGCACATGCTTTGATGGACTGTTACTTTTTATGAGAAAGAGTGTATTCAGATTTTGTTCCTTAATTATCCAGTTCTAATTTTAAGACTGTGCTTCTTGAGCTGCAGTGTCATGGAGATCGCAAGTAGATCATTCCTTTACTTTCTATTAATGCAATTTCAAATAAGTTTCTTGATTGTACAGAATGTTGCTAGAAGTAACAAGTGTTGCTAGAAAAACAATACATTTTGTCCAAGCTCTTTACTTTGCACTCATCAGAGTAATTTGCAAGATTTAACAACGTAAAAGGAAATCTACATTTACAAACTAAAAACGAAAAGAACTGCGGATGCTGTAAATCAAGAACACAAAGAAAGTTGCTGGAAAAGCTCAGCAGGTCTGGCAGCATCTGTGAAGGAGAAAACAGAGTTAACGTTTCGGGTCCGGTGACCCTTCCTCAGAACTGATGGTGGCTGGGAAAACAGTTTATATGCAGAAAATAGGGAGGTGGGTGGGGTAGGGAGTAAATGATAGGATAGAGCCCAAAGAGAGAGAAAGACAGTTGGACAGACAAAGGAGTTGCTAACAATCAGGCTGGGAGGGTGAGTAGTTGTTAATGGGGACTGTTAGTGACTAACAACAGGGGGTGTGTAGTGGCAGGCTATGTGGTAACAAGGCTTGGTGTGTGGGGTGGGGGGCTGGGACATGGGAGAGTTTAGGCCCTAAAATTATTGAACTCAATATTGAGTCCGGAGGGCTGTAGGGTCCCCAAGCGGAAAATGAGGTGTTGCTCCTCCAGCTTGCGTTGGACTTCACTGGAACACTGCAGCAAGCCAGAGACAGAGATGTTGGCCAGGGAGCAGGGTGGTACATTGAAGTGGCAGGCAACAGGTAGTTCAGGGTCTTTTTTGTGAGCAGAACGTAGATGTTCTGCGAAGCAGTCGCCAAGTCTACTCTTCATTTCCCCAATGTAGAGGAGACCACATTGTGAGCAGCGAATACAGTAGACTAGATTCTTGGAAGTGCAGGTGAAGTGTCTCTTCACCTGGAGGGTGTGTTTGGGCCTTTGGATACTGGGGAGGGAGGAGGTAAATGGGCAGGTGTTGCACCTTCGCCGGTTACAGGGGAAGGTGCCCTAGGGCTGTGGGGAGGTGTTGGGGGTGATGAAAGTGTGGACCAGGGTGTCCCGGAGGGAACGGTCCCTGCGGAAAGTGGACAAGGGACGGGATGGGAATATGTGTCTGGAGGTGGCAGAAATGGCGTCTGATGATCTTCTGGATGTGGATGCTGGTGGGATGGTAGGTAAGGATAAGGGGAACCCTATTGCTGTTGCGGGAGGGAAGAGAAGGGGTGAGGGCTGAAGTGTGGGAGATGGGTCGGACCTGGTTGAGGGCCCTGTTGACAATGGAGCTGGAGAATCTTCGGTTGAGGATGAAGGTGGACATTTCGGAGGCTCCCGATTTACATTTACATGGCTCTACATTTACACTCTGAGAGGGGAGTTTTGATTGGTTCACAAACGAGCTTTTAATTGATTGCCATAGAGAATTACTAGTTGGATAATGACTGACAGTTAACTGCCAAGCTTTGCTTAAAATTTAAAACAGGCAGATTGACTCTGATTAGTCAAGGTATGACACTGAAAAATGAAGCAGAAGATGGCTGCAAAAATGAAGCAGAGCACACACACACACACACACACGCGCGCGTGCGCGCACGCACTCCAATGCCAAGTTCATACCTTGACATGGCTATGCATATCATGCCTGTCACTGACGTGGGTTTTCCTCCATACTTTTTTGTGCATCACCTCCCACTATAGCTCCTGAGCCATGTTCTCAGTGAGAAGGTCTGGTTTCAAATCCTACCTGTTCTGGAAATGTGTTAGAACATATCTGAACATGTTGACCTTTTATTAACTCTCAGTTTGTAAACAAGCTAGCAATTTCAATCAATTTTGTTTTTTCTTTATTCGTTCACGGGATGAGGATGTCGCTGGCTAGACAGCATTTATTGCCCATACCTAATTTCCCAGAGGGCAGTTAAGAGTCAACCACATTGCAGTGGGTCTGGAGTCACATGTAGTTCAGACCAGGTAAGGATGGTAGTTTCCTTCCCTAAAGGACATTAGTGAACCAGATGGGTTTTTCCTGACAATTGACAATGGATTCACGGTCATCATTAAACTCTAATTCCAGATATTTATTGAATTCAAATTCCACCATCTGCCATGGCAGGATTCGAACTAGGGTCCCCAGAACATTATCGGTGTCTCTGGATTAACAGTCCAGTGATAATACCACTAGGCTGTTGCCTCCCCTTATGTAATATATATCAGTACATTGATTGACATTGGTCAAAAGCTTCAGGAGAATGCCAAAGCCTCTGTGTCCAGCATTAATCAGACAGAAAACTGCCCGCTTACCTGGAAGGCTCCGATTTCCATTCTGTAACGCAGCAAATCTCCCTCAACACAGGAAACCCGGCAAAGAGTAGCAAAGACAATGAGCTCAGAAGCTACACCCACAGGCTGGATGAAGTAAATGGGTAGGGTGGCACATGGGATGCCAGCTAAGGTAGCAGTTGCGTCAAGTAGAAGGTGGATGGAGTGGTAATCACCCACATTATCCACCTACCTGTTCACCCACCTTATCCACTTAGCCACTTCACCTACCTCCCCATCCTGCCCACTCTCACTCACCAACCACTGACCCAGATATCCGTTCACCCTTTACTTATTCCTTCATTTATCTACTCATGCATTCCAGTAAGAACACCACTCACAAAGATGGGACCTTTATTGTTCGCAGTCAGAATAAAGTAGCTAGCATCACAAAAGGAACGTATTTCCTCTCAACCCCTGACTCTCCTGCACTCTAACGAAATTCCCACATTGCACTGTATTTTTTCTTGGCAGTGGACACCAGAAGATTGAAATGTGCAACAGCGTGGTTTTGAAGAATCTTCATGCACAGTTACAAAGCACCCAGCACTGTCACTGCTTGGAAAAATCAAGCCTTTCAGTAGCACATAGAAGAAAGAACAAGAACGAAGACCAAAGAACAATACAGCACAGGAACAGGCCCTTCAGCCCTCCAAGCCTGCGCCGACATATTTTGCCCTTCCATGATAAAACTGTCTTCACTAATTTGATCCGTATCCCTCTATTCCCTTCCTATTCATGTATTCGTCCAGGTGCTTCTTAAATGCTGCTATTGTGTCTGTTTCCACCAGCTCCTCTGGCAGCGCGTTCCAGGCACTCACCACCCTTTGTTAAAGACTTGCCCCGCACATCTCTTTTAAACTCCCCCTGCTGCACCTTGAAACAGTGTCCCATAATAATTGACCCCTCCATCCTGGGAAAATGCCTCATACTTCCACTCTATCCATGCCATTCACAATCCTATAAACTTCTATCAGGTCACCCCTTAACCTCCTGCGTTCCAGTGAAAACAAATGCAGTCTTTCCAATCTTTCTTCATAGCTAAAGCCCCCCATACAGGCAACATCCTGGTAAACCTCTTCTCCAAAGCATCGACATCTTTCTGGTGACCAGAAATGTATGCAATATTCCAAGTGTGATCAATGTTGGTTCACTAGTTTAGAAGTATTAAGTATTACACTTGGAATATTAGTTCACTAGGGGTTGGAACCACTCACAGTGATTATTGATATCCATTCATTGGCATGTAGATCATAGTCAAGGAAACTAAGACCTGAAACATTGACTCTTCCTCTCAGCACAGATACTGCTAGAGCTTTTGTGTAATTCCATCATTTGTTGTTTTTATTTAATTATTTCCAATACTGGTGTAGAGATGTTTAGTGAAACCTTATTGAGAGAGGGACTGCTGTTTGTACTGCATATTGAGAAATAGAAGCTGTTTTAGCTTTAAAGCTCCAATATACAAAAGGAACTGCCTTCTTTACAAAGTCAGAAGTCACACCAGGTTATAGTCAAAGAGGTTTATTTGAAATCACAAGCTTTCGGAGCATAGCCCCTTCATCAGTGTGACTTCTAACTTTGTCCACTCCAGTCCAACACTGACACCTCCACATCGTGGTCTACTTTATAGCCTGTTATTCAGGAAGAACGTAGTTGTATCAGTTTTAAAATGCTGAGGAATGTTGATAGACTCAGCTGAACAAAGAAAATTCGCTAGATTTAGGAACTGGGTGTAAGTATGTAAAATAGGAAAGAAAAAGATTTTCTAAACTGTCTTTTAATGTTAAAGGAAGTCTAAAGGGTAACAAGGTGTATAAAGCAATTGTTTGTTCCCTATGGTAGCTGATTCGTCTCATTATGCCTTGCATGCTGATATATATTTTAATTGCACTGTGCGATCCCTTTTGATCTTTGCTATTTATTTTTCAGTGCTCAGTTACATGTGGAGGTGGATTCCGCACACGGAATGTGACATGCACTTGGGATAATAAAGAACTGTGCATTATTTCCAAAAAGCCAAGTGTGAAAAGTTTGTGTGGCTTACGGAACTGCCCCAACAACAAGAAACTTCTGTTCCCTCCAAGAAAGCCGAAAGATGGTAAAATTTTTCCCAAAGATCTCCCTGGTAAGCTGAGGCCTAAATATGGTCCTAATCACTCAGGTTCAAAAGTTCAACCTAAACCCAAACGAGTGCCTGTGACCACTGAGCAACCGCTTCCTGTCAACATCACAGTGCCAACAGCTGCTAGCAGGAGCCCTGCGACAACTATGGCTACTACTACAAACAAACAATTGCACAGGCAAGAGAAGCCTTCCCCAAAACAGCAGAACCACAATACATCACATTATGGACATTATGATGACAACTTTATTGCTATTCACCAAAATCTGACCAATGAGGGGGAAACTATCAAGAGGAAGATTGTCCTTGAAGCTGGAAACATTACACCTACAATACAAATTATTAATGAGACTCACGATATTGCTGGTGAAAATGACAGTAACTCAAACCATGACCTCATTACCACAGAAGAGGTTGATAAACATTTTCCATTTACAGAAGCACCTCAGGCTGGTATCGTAACAGATGAATACAATGATGAAGTCGAAAAGCCGAATACAGTCCCAATCAATGCTGAGGAATCAATGTTGTCTGCTAGTCCACAGACAACATTTGTGACTACAGTACAGCCTGGTAGTACACAAATAATCAAGCCGAGTGTAAGTGTTCCTTCCCCAGGCTTTCCAAGGTTAAAAATAGATCCAAAATTCAAAGCAACAATGGAACGGCTAAGAATGAAACTTTTCAGAATGCTGAATCCACAGCAGTTTTCTAACACTACTGACATTCTAGCACGTGGTCTAAATCTTAGTGATGAAAACAGTACAAACCTGCAGCATAATCTTGAGCTTACAACTTCAAATGGAATTGGTACAACAGATTCAAAATGGATAAAATTTAAAGGAGCCATTGGCAGCAAATTGCCAGCTTCTGAAACACAATCTCCCACAAAATTACCTTCGAAGAAAATTACAACTACAAATAGACCAAATAATTTCTCCAATGTGACTGAAGACTCTGATGATTTTGTACCTGAAGTTAGCTTGGATGATGTTTACTGGAAGGTTGGAAATTGGAGTGAGGTATGTCTTCATATAAGTAACAAAGATTATTCTAGTTAATGTATGCAGTGTAGTTTATCAATATTAGAAATTTTAATGTCAACACAGTGTAGAAACACTGGTAAATGTTCTATTTTTACCTGTCCAATTGTATCTGAAGTATCTCTAGCACCAGCTTCTCTTACCTGGACCATTATGAACAAAGTGCACCCAAAAGAACATAAGAACCAGGAGTAGGCCATCTGACCCTTTGAGCCTGCTCTGCCATTCAATAAGATCATGGCTGATCTTTTCGTGGCCTCAGCTCCACCTACCCACTCTCTCACCCTAACCGTAATTCCTTTACTGTTCAAAAAATGATCTATCTTAGCGTTAAAAAAATTCAACGAGGAAGCCTCAACTGCTTCACTGGGCAAGGAATTCCACAGATTCACAACCCTTTGGGTGAAGAAGTTCTTCCTCTATTCAGTCCTAAATCTGCTCCCCCTGATTTTGAGGTTATTCCGTCTTGTTCTAGTTTCACCCGCCAGTGGAAACATCCTCCCTGCTTCTATATTATCTATTCCCTTTATAATTTTATATGTTTCTATAAGATCTCCTTTCATTCTTCTAAATTCCAATGAATATAATCCCAGTCTACTCAGTATCTCATCATAAGCCAACCCTCTCAACTCCAGAATTAATCTAATGAATCTCCTCTGCACCCCCTCCTGTGCCAGTACATCCTTTCTCAAGTAAGGATAATGAATTAATTATTGGTTCCTTCTTCTTTCATATCTTTTTGCTTCTCCTTAGTGGCATCATCTGAAGGCATGGGGACAGCTTTTACCTGAGCCCTAACAACAACAACACAGCTCCATCTGTATAACAACTTTCACAACCTTTATGCTGGTCAGGCTGGTTGTCTGACAAGTCTAGAGTCTCCCATGGTTTGTATGAGTTAAACATTGGCAAGCTCAACAATAGATGGTAAGGATTTCATGAAGGAGACAGGAAGGTTAAGCCAGAAAGCTCCATGTCTTGGCAGGTCCAACTCCTTTGAGAAAGGCCCTCTACACACCATTTTGCATTCTGTTAAGATGCAGACAGGAAACAATTGGCTCAGCCACCTCTGGAGATGCCCTGGTAGTGAAGTCAGCAGCTAGAATATCCAAATTCCCACCTCAGTGGATGGCAACATTGGCACAGTTGTAATGATAAATGTAATGCTTTTGAATCTCAGCCCTCAGTTCATCCCACCAAAATATCCACTATATTCCCCACCATGCTCACTCATACACCAAAGCTTCCTTGACATATGCCTGCCATGCATCCAAGACCTGGAGACCATCCAGACTTGGGCTAATAATTAGCAGGTTACATTCACACCACCATCACCCTTTGATATTCAAAGGCATTACCATTGCCATATCTCATATTATCAACAATCTGGGGGCTATCATTCATCAAAAACTGAACTGAACTAGCCGTATAAACAACTGCACCTCCCAGTCGCGAACCATTTCAACTCCCCCTCCCATTCCTCAGACGACATGTCCATCCTGGGCCTCCTGCAGTGCCACAACGATGCTACCCGAAGGTTGCAGGAACAGCAACTCATATTCCGCTTGGGAACCCTGCAGCCCAATGGTATCAATGTGGACTTCACAAGTTTCAAAATCTCCCCTCCCCCTACCGCATCCCAAAACCAGCCCAGCTCGTCCCTGCCTCCCTAACCTGTCCTTCCTCCCACCTATCCCCTCCTCCCACCTCAAGCCCCACCCCATCTCCTGCCTACTAACCTCATCCCACCCCCTTGACCTGTCCGTCCTCCCTGGACTGACCTATCTCCTCCCTACCTCCCCACCTACACTCACCTTTACTGGCTCCATCCCCGCCTCTTTGACCGGTCTGTCTCCTCTCCACCTATCTTCTCCTCTATCCATCTTCTATCTGCCTCTCCCTCTCTCCCTATTAATTTCAGAACCCCGTTCCCCTCCCCCATTTCTGAAGAAGGGTCTAGGCCTGAAGTGTCAGCCTTCCTGCTCCTCTGATGCTGCTTGGCCTGCTGTGTTCATCCAGCTCTACACCTTGTTATCTTAGCCATATAAATATTCTGAGTGCAAGAACAGGTCAGAGGCTAGGCATTCTGTGGGAAGTCACCTCCTATCTCCCCAGACATGTCCACCATGTACAAGGCACAAGTCAGGAGTATGATGGAGTTTTCCCCATTTTCCTGGATGAGTGCAGCTCCAACAACACCCAAGAAACTTGACATTGTCCAGGACAATACAACGCACTTGATTACAACCCTATTCACCACCTTCAACTTGGATTCCCTTCATCCTGATACACAATGGTGGAATGGTTACCATCCTCAAAATGCATGACAGTAACTTACCAAGATTCCTCTGACAGCATCTTCTAAATCTGTGAACTTTACCACCTCGAGGGTCAAGTGTAGAAAGTGCATGGGAACACCACCATCTGCAAGCTCCCCTCTTAAGTGACACCTTGTCCATAATTGGATCTATATTGCCATTTTGTCATTGTTACTGGGTCAAAATCCTGAAACTCCCATCCTGACAGAAATGTAGGTGTCCCTGCAACCTTAGGTCAGCTGTGCTTCAAGAAAGCAGTTAATCACCATTGCCTTCTCCTGGGAAATTTAAGATGAGTAATAAATGCTAGCCTAGCAGGAATGACGACATCGCATGAATGAAGAAAAGTGCTATGGCAGGTCTCAGGAATCTTGCCTTTGAACTGGCCATGTAAAGAAACTTAAAAGTTAAATTGCCTCAAGTGGTCAATCCATTATAGAAACAATGAATCAAACACCTAAATAATGCTTTAAAAAAAATCTCTTAAAATTGTTCAGCAAACTGCTGACTCGGTTCCCTGCTGAGTTAAGTAGTTCTGTAGCTTTTGAAATTTCATCAATATTCATAATGACCCTGGTTGGCAATACAAATTGTTTAACAATGCAAACAAATAAAGAGCACACCAGACTTTTCACTGTTACTGCAAAATTGAATGAAACAGTTTACTAAGAGCTTCCACCTCATTAAAGAGACTTCAGGCCAATTTGCTCTGAAAACATCAACTCATAGAGTCACAGACTTCTATAGAACAGAAAATGTCCCTTCAGTCCATCACATTTGCATTGGTCAAAAAAAAAACTTAAATATTCTAATTCCAGTTTTCAGCACTTGACCTAAAGCCTTCTAATCCAAACCCTTGGCATCACAATTGCACATACAAATATTTCTCAATATGTGCCTCAACCACACATCTCCTCTAGACCTTCTACTCCTTTCCTTAAATCTATGCCCCTTGGTCATTGATTCCTCCATCAAGGGGAAAAGTCTCTTCTTGTCTATCCTACCTATGGCCCTCATAATTTTCTACATCAATCATGTCCCCCCATAGTCTTCTCTGTTCTAAGGAAAACAACCCCAGTCTGTCCAATCTCTCTTCATAACTGAAACTCTCCAGGCAATATCCTGGTAAACCTCCTCTGCACCAATGCTATCACATCCCTCCTATAATGCAGATTCCAGACTGCACATAATATCACACATTCCACTGCAGCATCGGAGACATTTGAAACAATCCACAAACTTCTAATTAAACATCTCACAACATTCCGTAAAAAAAAAAGCCCCATCTCCTAATGTTAACAGATCCTTTTAAAAAAATCCAGGATTCCAGGAACAAAATTCACATCTGCTCCAACAACGAATCAGTTTTTCCTCGGGAAAAGCCCTATCTGTGTTTCAGGTTTAATTGAAATTCATCCACTAACCTTGAGATGCAACCCTGTTGTGTCTGCCTTGCTGTACAGGAAACCCTGCTTGTCTATCACTCCAGTTCTTACATTGTCCATTATTACCAAATGCCTCTGATTTAACATTTAACCATAAACAGATTTTCTATTTGGCTAGCTCTCATTATGAGGTGTTTATAGGATCAGAAGGCAGAATCATAACATGACAATAGGTTTACTTGTATAATGCTTTTAACTTATAATGCTTTTAACTTAACAAAATATACCAAAGAGCTTCACTGAGGCATTTTAAAAAAAAAATCTCACTGAGCCACAAATGGAATAATTTAGGATTTAACAATAATCTAGTTCAAAGAGGTTGGCCTTAAAAAGAAAAAAATCATGCTTGAGAGACAGAGAGGTTTTTGGAAGAAACTCCAAAGTTTAGGACATAAGCACTGAGGCCAGGCCATTGATCTTTGAGTGTTTAAAAATTAGAGATGCTCAAGATGCTGAAGTTGAGTGGAGCGCAACTATCTTTGTGGGTTAGTGAGCTGGAGGATGTTACAGAGATGATGAGGAATGAGGCCATGGATTTGCAAGCATAGATGAGAATTTAAAAATCAAGAAGTTGCTGTACTGGAAGTCAATACTGGTCAATGAATGCAGGGTTGATTGGTGACTGAGACTTGATGTGAGTAAGAAGTTTAGGTGACCTTTCTGGAGGGTAGGATGTGGGAGGCTAGCAGTAGCACAATGGAGTAATCAGTTTGAAAGGTAACAAACAATTACTGAATGTTGCAGCAGAAAAAATGAGGCAGGAGTAGAGTTGGGGACATGTTATGGAAGTGAAAATATGTTATCTTAGTAATGGTAGGCACATGGTTGAAAGCTTTTCTCAGAGTTAAATATGACACAAGAGGTTACAAACAGACTGGTTCCGCTATGAGAAGGGATGGAATTCGTAGTGAGGAGCTGGAGATATCTTACTAGCTGTTGAGTGGCATTAGTCTGCTGAAGGACAGATTGAAGGCCAAATTTACGAAGACTTGGTTGGTCTGTCCAAGCTGTAAAATTAATTTCCTTTGTTTTCAAAGCCTGGCCCTTATTCGTCCCCTATTGGAGCAGCTGGATTCAGCTTTCAGTTTTACTGGCAATTCAAGGCAGATAGCAGGTTTATTTTTTCCATGTTCTGGAGGGAGTTAAATAGGTGGGGTGTATTTAAACCCCTTCTCACGCCATCAGCTCAATAGTATAACTTCAGGGGTATGTCTAAAGCCAGCAAGTGATCTGAGAGACAATTCTATGAAAGAAAACATGTCAAGAGATGGTGATAATTGGAGGTGAATGTCTCAATGTTGGGATACAAATCTAGAAAACCTTTGCAGGGTCTCTTATACATGGAGTTGACAGTTGTCAGTGCAGATTCTCTGATGTAAATAATGTTCTTAAATTATTTGGAAGGTTTGTTTAAAAAGGAGCCAACTAAATTTGCCAATGTTAGCAGAATTGGAATGAGAGGAATTTGTAGAGGAAGAGAGTAACAGTTCAAAACATAAAAGATTTACATCACTTCAGATTTAGATCAATTTGGATACGGGATGTTATACATGTCAGTACGATTTTACCTTAGGAATATCATTTTATAATTCTAAATTAGATGGAATACATGGTGAAAATGCTAAGGAGAGTCCACTAATTTTGCTCTCCCATCAGAGGGAGGGTAACAGTTCTATTCAGGATCTGTGATGCTTCTTGTTTCTGACTCTCTGTAGAGTGTCTCTAACTATCTTGCCTCTCTGGTAGTTTTGTGATGTCTTTGAACTATCTACCATAGATCAGTGGTTGCAATCTTATCTCTTAATCAGTAGATGTTGGATTCAATCTTGCTGTAAAGACTTGAGTCTAAAACATTTTGAGATGCTCTGTGTCATTAAAGGGGCTATAACAATGCAAGTCACTCTTCTTTCAAGGTTCATTGCCATGGGTTGTTGGTATGGACAGGGTCAGACTCAACCATGATAATGCCTATCCTCCCCACAGATTGGTGGAGGGAGACATTCATATTTTACAAAGTGCATCATAGACAATAATGTGAAATGATTGTTACAATTTAGGAAACATGACAGCCAATTTACACACAGCAATGGCTTATTGACCAGATAATAGGTTTACTTAAGATAGTTGAGACATAAATATTAGCCAAGTTACCAATGATGTCTGACCTGTTTTTTAAATTAATGCTATGATCTCATAGAAATGTATAAAATTCTAACAGGACAAGATCGGGTAATTACAATAAGGATGTTTCTGAAGGCAGATGAGATCAAAACCAAGGGTCACAATCTAAGGACATGGGATAAACCATTCATGATTGAAATTTTTTCACCTAGAGAGTCATGATTCTGTTGAATTTGCTATCATGGGAAGCAGTCAAGGCCAAAACATTGCATAATTTTACAAAGGAGTTGGATTTGACACTTGGAGGTAAAGGGATCAAAGGATATGAGGCAAAGCAAGAATAGGCTATTGATTTGGATGATCAGCCGTGATCATAATTAATGACATAGCAGGTTTAAAGGGCCAAATTGCTACTCCTGCTTCTGTTTGCTGTGTTGATGTCTATGTTTCTATCTAAAGTTGTGCACTACCAAACTTTACAGAACTTTCTACTATTGTTTGCATTAAAATTATGTGCTGTACACTGCTGATGTATGCCTGGAGCAGACATAGAATATTTATTCCTTTAATACCAGTTGATTAATTTTGTAGAACCAACTTTTATTACACATTGCTGTTGGTGTGACTTGTGTGCATTCAGTTTTCCCTCTAAATTGATTCTGTGCAGTGTTCTACAACATGTGGAATTGGTGCAATGTGGAGACAAATAGAATGTAGTGCTGACGAAGACTCACATTGTGAAAAGATTAAAAAGCCAGCTCCTGCTCGGAGATGTTTTGTACGCCCTTGTGCTGTTTGGAAAATAGGAAACTGGAGCAAGGTAAGTAACATGTGCTAAATATAAAATGGACAATTAGCTTTTCAATTCTTATCCTCCCTTCACACCCCATCCACCATTAGATTCTCACTTGTCCAGAGAGTCATCAATTTGGCATCATCTCGTCACCTTGCAATATTTCACCAAAGTGAACTAACCCCATCATGAGTTCACACCATTTATTTTTGGCTTTTGTGCCCAGGGAAGTTATTGATACCAAGCACATGGGTCAAGGAAAAATAATTAGATCTGTGCCAGTCCACCTTAGATTCCTGGGCTTTCCTGCAGCATGCCATCTGTTTATAAGAATGCAGTCTAGATAGGCCAGTGTTAATGAAGTCAAATGGTACATTCTTAGTCTTCTACTTTAACAGCACTCAAATACTTGATGGATGCAGGATGTGCAAAGAAGGTAGAGATTTGCATTTAGTCCTCCAGAAGTTTAAACAACAGTTGGTATCTCATGGATCCTTATCTCTGCTGGCTGAGTCCCAGTAACTGAAGGTAGAGTGGCACCTCAGGCCTGAAACAATTGAATTTTTTACCCTCTGATGCTTGAACTGTCTCAAGGCAATCTAAATGGCTAGGGATTGGGATAGGGTATTATGAGGACATGACAACTTCTGCAGGAAAGTGCACAATGTCATTCAGTGAAGCCAGCGTAATTAAACTGTATCCATACATCCTTGGATCATAGAAATTTATGACACTTAGGCCGTAATGTCTATTCTATCCTACTTATTTTGAACTGCACAATTTTGAAGAGGAGCAGGAGAGCTACGCCCTGTGACCTGACATATATACCTCAACCAGCATCACAAAAACCAGATTCTATGATGATAATCATAATGTTATTTGTGGGACCTTGCTAAATGCAAGTTAGCTGCTGAAATTCCTATGTTACAGTGTTGCTATTTCAAAAGTACTTATTACCTATAAAATGTTTTGAGATGACCATTGGTCGTGAATCATGCTTTATAAATGCAAATCTTTCTTTGTTTCTCTGTTTAATTTAAGTTCATTTTTCTTCCATTAACTTATATTAACACCAGAATATGGAACATAACTTTAATGTTTACAGTCTATGGAAACTATTAAAAACATCCTTCTTTCTCTGCCATATTCTCCTTCTCAACTTTTATTCGCTGCATTCCATTTGCGATCAGTCTGTGCAACTACTCACAGTATTACTGTGTTGAGAAGGTTATAACTTAGTCCTTTTCTTTATCATTCATCAAAGTGAGCGTTCCTGGCAAGTCCAGCATATATTGTTCATCTCTCTTTGCGCGTGAAATTCAGATTCAAGTCAGGAGACAATGAAATAGGTTAGGCAACAGCTTAGTTGTATTATCACTGGACATTTTATCCAGAGATTCAGGTAACGTTCTAGGGACCTGGGTTTGAATCCTGCTACAGCAGCTGATAATGTAGAATTAATAGTCTAATAGAGTCATAGAGTCATTCAGCTTGGAAACAGATGCTTTGGTACAACTTGTCCACGCCAACCATACATCCCAAGTTGATCTAGACTTTTTTGCCAGCATTTTGCCCATATCCCTTGAAATCATTCCTTTTCATAGACCCATCCAGTTGTCTTTTAAATGTTGTAATTGTACCTACCTCCACCACTTCCTCTGGAAGCTCGTTCCATACACAAACCACCCTCTGCATGAAAAAGTTATCCCTCACATCCCTTTGAAATCTTTCCCTTCTCACCTTAAACCTATGCCCTCCAGTTTTGGACTCCCTATTTTAGGAAAGAGACCTTGCCTATTCACCCTATCCATGCCCCTCATGACTTTATAAACCTCTAAAAGTCACTCCTCAGCCTCCGATGCTCCAAGGAAAAGTGCTCCAGCCTATTCAGCCTCTCTCAATAATTCAAATCCTCCAGTCATGGCAACATTCTTGGAAATCTTTTCTGCACCCTCTCAAGTTTAACAACATCCTTCCTATAGAAGGACGACCAGAATTGTACACAGTTTTCAAAAAGTGGCCTCACCAATATCCTATGCAACTGCAACATGACATCCTAATTCCTATTTTCAATGTTCTGACCAATTAAGGCAAGTGTGCCAAATGTTTTCTATCTTCTACCTGCGACTCTACTTTCAAGGAACTATGCACATGCAGTCCTAGGTCTCTATGTTTGACAACACTCTCCAGGGCCCTACTATTACTGTTAAAGTCATACTTGGTTTGCCTTACCAAAATGCAATACCTCACATTTATCTGAATTAAACTCCATTGCTGATTGTCAGAAAAACCTGGTTCGCTAATGTCCTTTTGGGAAGGAAACTCTGTCCTTTACATGTAAGTCCAAACCTACAGCAATGTGATTGATTCTTAACTGCTGTCTAGGCAATTAGCAATGGGCATTAAGTTCTGGCCTAGCTAGTGACACCCTCATCCTGTGAAGGAATAACAGAAATGCACGCTTGGTCTATTCGCTCCCATTGAATTGACAGTCAATATCATCTAGATCCTTGCATTTGGCTGGTTTCCTGCTGTCCAGATAGGTGAAGTGAAACCAACTCTGCCTTTGAGACTGATGATCTGTTTCTATTCATTAATGTTTCTTCTGTATTCAAAGTGCTCAGAAAACTGTGGAGGTGGTGTTAAAATCCGTGACATACACTGTATAGACAGCCATGACAAAAGGCCACTGAGGCCTTTCCACTGCCAGCTGCTCGGAACCAAACCAATCACAAGCCTTCGCTGCAATCCAAAGGCCTGTGCCGACTGGCAAGTTTCTGCTTGGAGTGAGGTAATTAAGGAATAGAAGTGAGGTACACATTTTTGATGATATTATTGCTCTATAAAAGGTGCTTTAGCTTCAGTAAAATGAAATGATTTGATTCTAATTGAAGATCTTGAATATGTCATAAATGTATTTTCCTCAAGTGTTCAAGGACATGCGGTGGTGGGATTCAAGAAAGACTGGTTCACTGTATGGGAGAAAGGCAGTGCAATTTGAAGGCTCAGCCTCATACTGCCATGCCCTGCAATACTCAGCCATGTATTCAATGGATAGCTGGAACCTGGAGTGAGGCAAGTCAAATATTCAATCTTCGGGATCTGAATTTCTGTTGCAACTCAATCTGTTAATTTCACCTCAAAATTGAACAGGGAATCTTAATAATTTAATAGTTAAACATAATTATTATTGCAAACATATATTTTTACATTTCTACTTTTATTTTAAAATACTTAGCTATAGTCAGTTGTGTATTGATAATGTATCTTGCAGAGCCAGTATACCGTTAAGCTTCATACATACTGTTTGGCCCTGATTCTTTGCTGGAGCAACAAAAGAACATCTGTGTTATCAGTTACCTCTGCCCTCTGCATTTTCAGATTATAACAGGGTTTTACACCATAAAGGCATCCAAATTTTAATGCTCACTTTAAATTTATACCTTCTTGTAAATGATTCACGGATCAACAGAAACAATCTCACTATCTAGCTTCTAAAATCTTTTTGAAATGAGGAACACTTGCAATTCAACCCCTTTATAATCTACTCTGCTGTAGTAAGAGCCATTTCTACTAACCTCCTAATGAATCTACATTTAGTTTTAATGAAACTAGAATCATACAGTACAGAAGAGATTCTTTGGTCCATCGATCTGCACCAACATTATCTTTTGATTCAGGAAATATCCAAAATGATAGGAAAACTGCCAAGTTAACACACTTATTCAAACAGGATGGAGACAAAAATCATGTCAGTTGCATTAACCTCATTGTGAAAATATTAGGCTATTGTAAATGAGAGGAGAATATTTAGAAATGTATAATAAACATTAGCAGAGTGATAGTAGGAACTGCCGATGCTGGAGTCTGAGATAACAAGGTGTAGAGCTTGTTGAACACAGCAGGCCAAGCAGCATCAGAGGAACAGGAAAGCTGACATTTCGGGTCGAGACACTTCAAACGTCAGCTTTCCTGCTCCTCTGATGCTGCTTGGCCTGCTGTGTTCATTCAGCTCTACACCTTATTATCTCTTATTAGCAGAGTGATCATTGCTTCATGAAGAGTGGGGATAACTGGGTGTTTTTTTGCTTGGTGTTCAGTGGCTATTGGTGTGTCTCAGGGAACAGTGTTGGGACTGCAATTGCTTATTACTTACATAGATAATTTAGAGTTGGGGACCAAGTGCAGTGTGTCAAAGTTTGCAGATGACAGCAAAGTGAGTGATAGAGCAAAGTGTACAGAGGACACATGAAAGTCTGTAGAGGAATATAGATAGATTAAGTGAGTGAGCAAGGTTCTGGCAGATAGAATACAATGTTTGTTAATATGAGGTCATCCATTTTGGTAGGAATAACAGCAAAATTGACTTATTTAGATGGTGAAAAATTGCAGCATGCTGCTATGCAGAGGGACCTATGTGTCCTTATGCATGAATCACAAAATATTGGTTTGTAGGTTTAGCAGGTAATTAAAAAAGCAAATGGAATATTGCTCGTCATTGCTAGAGGGATGGAGTTTAAAAATAGAGAGGTTACACTGCAGTTATATAGGGTGCCGGTGAGGCCACATCTGGAGTACTGTGTATAGTTTTGGTCTCCTTACTTGAGAAAGGATGTACTGACGCTGGAGAGAATGCAGGGGAGGTTCATTAGGTTGATTTCAGAATTGAGCAGGTCACCTTATAAGGAGAGATTGATTGAATGTGACTGTATTTGCTGGAATTTAGAAGAATGAAGTGGAGGGGAAGGATTTAAGGAAACATGTAAAATTATGAAAGGAATATTATGATAGAAGAAATTATGATAGAAGCTGTTTCCACTAATGGGGGAAACTAGAACTGGGGGGCATAGCCTCAAAATAAGGGGAAGCAGATTTAGGACTGAATTGAGGAGGAACCTCTTCACCCAAAGGGTTGTGAATCTGTGCCATTCCCTGCCCTGTGAAGCAGTTTAGGCTATCTTGTTGAATGTTCTTAAGGCAAAGATAGATAAATTTTTGAACAGTAAAGGAATTAAGGGTTAAGATGAGAGGGTGGGTAAGTGGAGTTGAGGCCACAAAAAGATCCGGCACGATCTTATTAAATGGCAGAGCAGATGGTCTACTCCTGCTCCTATTTCTAACGTTCTTATGTTCTAAGGGGAAATCATGCCTGACAAACTTAATACAGTTCCTTGGGGAGATGACAAGCATGATAATAAAAGTGAATCTGCAGAGGCAACAGATATGATGTTCCAAAAGTTGTTTGAGAGAGTACTGTATATAAAGGCTAGTTAAGTAGAGCCCATTGTGTTGGTGTCGTTTGTTAGCGTGGAGAGGATTACCTAACTAATAGAAGACAGATAATTGGGATGGTTGTGGGGTGGGGTTTGGGGGAGGTTGGTGCTGACTTTCACAATAGCAACCTATAACTAGTGGATTACCACAGGGATTGCAATAATTGCCCCAAAACTAAGGCCTAAATGTATGGTTTAAGTGGTCATTTATTAACTTAATTGACAGTATACACAATCATTCTAATTTAACTGTGCAAAACTCTTCTTCACCCTTCTGGAATATGTACTTAAATTAAACAAAATAGTACAGATGCTGGAAGCCTGAAATAAAAACAGACGTTCTGAAGAAGAGTAATATCAGGCTCAAAACGTAAACTCTGTTTCTCTCTCCACAGGTGCTGCCAGTCCTGCTGAGTTTCTTCAGCACTTATTTGAGATATTTGATGTATGTACTTGCGTAGAAGTCAATCCTGTATGAAGGTTGACCCTGTGATTTTTCAACAATTTGCGAAGGATAGGTTGGCCTTGGAGGGAGTACAATGTAGGTTTGCAAGAATGATACCTGGACTTCAGGAGATATGTTAAAAGGAAAGATTACACAAATTAGGCCTGTTTTCTCCAGAATTTAGAAGGTTAGGGGGAGACTAATTGAATTCTTCAAGATGTTAACAGGAAAAGTCAAGGTTGATAAAGATAAATTATTTCCACTGATTGGGGATTCTAGAACTAGGGGCATAATCTGAGAATTAAGGCCGGATTGTTCAAGAAAGATGTTGGCAAGGTGAAAGTTGTTTGGAAATCTCTTCCACAAATGTCAGTGGATGCTGGATCTGTTGTTAATTTTCAATCTATGATGAGTAATTTCTTGTTAAGGCATATGGACAAAAGGTAGCTACATGGAGTAAGGCCACAAATCAGCCATGACCTCACTGAATGGTGGAACAAGCTTGAGGGGCTGAATGGCCTACTCCTGTTCCTATCTTCCTGTGATATTACTAATAGATCACTGCCTTCCTTTGTAAATTCCCAGGAACAATCAATTTAAGTTATTAATTTGACAAAACAAGGATAAGAGTGGATATTAATTTCCAAGTCAAATCGAATCACATCCACCAGCTGAATTCAAATCAAATCCAGTTGGATTTTTTAAACAAGCACACTGTTGGCCTCTATTATATCAATGAATGTAAAATATATGTTTATACTACACTGTTATAGTCTCTGAAATATTTGTTCTGATAATATAGTGTTCTGTATCCTGCGGAGGAGGCTTACAACAGCGGGTGGTGAAATGCATGAACTTGAAAACTAATAAGACAGAGGAAGACAGAAGCATTTGTGAAATTAAGCCATCCCCAAATAAGATACGGAGGTGCAACATTCAGAAGTGTATGAGCAAAAATGGTAAGAAAATATAGAGTCTATATTTGTTGTTACAGTATGATGGTAGAACATGGTGGTGCAATGTGCAGGGTTCTAGAGTTTGGCAGAGACTAACTTCCCTCAGAGACATAAAACTGAAGTGCTAAGAGTCACACCGACAACCAATTTAGGACTGTTAGTCAGGCACTGAGTGTGGCTCATCTGCCTGTATTGGAAATTACATTGAATAATACACAGGGCCATTGATTTGCAGGAGAAAATTGCATAAGCACATTTGCCTGTTTCAACTGAACAAAATAGATGATAGCCATTTTCCAGTTCATTCCTCAGACCAATGTCTTCACCAATCAGAATTAACCTGCTTGGTTTAACTGCTGTTAGTCATCATTGTATTGGTAAAATCTCGATGGCCATGCCTTTACTAATCAGCGGCCTTTTGTCTACCAATCAGTATGCTCTGTCTACAAATTAAAATTCCCTATTCATTGTTCCCTATTGATTCCCTGTTCCCCTATTCATTAGTATTTTGGCAAATATCCTGATGAATGCTAGGTGAAATTTTAACAAAATGTATCTTTTTTTCAGCAATACTGTATAGTCAAATAATTATTTTAAAATGACTTTAATTAACATTTGACCTCAGGTGAGTACTTCCAGTAGTGAAGGACCAAATCTTAAGTAAAATCTTATAATTGATTTGAACTCTATAAAATACTACTTGTATTCTTAATTTTTGCATGTGTCTCACTCCTCAAAGCTCAATGCCAAAAAATATCCACTGTAAGCAGAATGGAAATGGTATCATTCACTTAAATGTAATGTTAATCTAAATTCCTATGAAATTATTAGTCAAACATCTTGGAGAAATTACTCAACCATAGCATGCTATCAGGTTTTATTGAGTTCTGAGATGTTTTGCTTGATATTCTGACAGCTGCTACAACATGAGCATTTGTATTTCAAGAGTCTTGAAACCATGTTAATTGTGGAAAGGTGCAATACAGAGATAAAATCCATAAGATTAAAGGCTATGCTTTAATGTGGATTTTGTGTTGGATAAGTTGGTTCACCTCCAAAAACAGCTGTGACATTGAAAGCTTAGGTAACCTGCACCTGTTAGATGTGATTGAAAGAGCACAGCATCTTTGTGCTGCCTTTTATGATGATTTCTGCATTTCACTAACGACATTGTTCATTCATGACACTTAGCAGGAGGGCCATATTTCCATCACTGCTTAAAGATAGCCTGCATCTCTTAAAAGGAAGGTACATGGTTGGAGATGCAGACGTAATTTTGAATCGTATTAGTCTTAATTGTGCTTTAATGGGATGTGACCAAGACCAGCATTTATTGACCATCCAGTTATAAACCAACTTCTTGAACCTCGGAAACTGACATGATGAAGGTATTTTCACAATGTTGCTATGTGTGGAATGCCAGATTGTGACCCAGTGATATTGAAGAAATGACAGTAGATTTCAAAGTGAAGATAGTGTATGCATTGATTGTGGTGATGTGGTTAGGTGGATTGGCAATGCTACAATGGTGTCCAGGGATGTGAAGGTTTAGTGGATTAGCCGTGGGAAATGCAGGGCTACAGGGACAGGGTGGAGGGGCTCGTCTGGGTTAGATGCTGTTAAGAGGGTTGGTGGGGACTCGATGGGCCTAATGGCCTGCTTCCTCACTGTGGGGATTCTATGATTCAATGATTCTCTTGTGTCTTTTGCCTTTGTTTCTAGGCAGTAGAGTCCACAATTGCTGTCTAAGACCATGAGCATACTTCTGTCTAAATTAACTAACATGGCTACAGGAATAGAGCTATCATTTTGTAATATCTTTTCTCTGTTACCCTTAAATAGTGGTGAGATCGGTAGTTTGCAACAGGTAGGGAACAATTTATGAATCTAGAGTTCTGAAATTCTACAATAAATGTATTGACAATTTAATTACCTGTTCCTTTTTAATGCCCTTGAGTAGAAACATCAGATCCTGGAGATCTGTCAATCTTTGATAACATCCATTTCTCCATCACCATTTCTTTATATTGAATCTAGTTAATTTCTTTGCTTGATTCGTTTTATATTTCCTTATGTCTAGCTTTTTATCCTCATCCTCTACTGTGCACATTAATACAAAGTAACTATTTAGGAAATCTGCCATTTCTCGATTTCCAATTTGATTTTAGATTTTTAGATTTTTAAAAATTTTATAGTCACATGTACTCATGTATAGAAGTACAGGAGTACAGTGAAAAGTGTATAATGTCGCCACATGTGGCATTATCTCAGGTACCAAGGTACCTAGGTGCAAACAAAGCTTGGGTACAAAGTAGTAAGAGAAACAAGAGTTAAAAATTTAAGCATTACTTCATAGAATAGTAGAAAAATAAAGAAATAGGTAATAGTTTACATTAAAGTCTTTTGTAGCTTAGACTGGGAAAATGCAGAAGTTAGTATTAAAAGTTCAACAATTATGACATCAAAAATGATATTGATAGTCACCTTTTATTTTAATATATTTGCAAATACTTCAGTATTGTCAAATAACTTAGTGCAATCAGCACATGGTTCTCCATTTCTTCAGTTAAGTGATGAATAGATCTTGACTCAGACTTATGCTTAGGAAAACTTGGAAATTAAATAGCAGATAATTCTACACACGGGTTGTTTCCACAGAAAAAGTTGAATCAGAGATCGTTGTATTTTTTTAAAGAAAAGGCAGAAGCTATTTGTAGCAGGTGATGGTTCTGAGTTAAGGGAAACACATTAAAGGCGTGAATGATCCTTTCTGCTCTGCAAGCTCCTTAGATCTGTTATGGTGTTCACAACAATTCAAGCAAGTGCATTAACATTTCGTAAGAAATGTAATGGCTTAAATACAGTTTGCATTTCTTTGTTTGCTAAACTTCACATTAAATATTCTACATCTAAAAGCTGTAACAGAACAATGATGGAAACTGATTGTGTATTCCTGATACTGATGACTATCCACAGTTGAGCTTTTGCTTGTACTGGCATCCTTTGTCTTCACAAACACAGAAAAATAATGTAAACAGATGGCGACAGATGGGCTTGACAATGTTTGGAACACACATCGACCGTTTTTTAAAAAAAAACATTTTAGTACAATATTCTATGTCTTGATTAGGTGCTTAATACATGGATAGTTTAAGGAAAAAAGGTGATCTGATTGCAAAAATGTTAATCTTCTGATGATCTAATAAAGTGTGCCAATATTTATAGTACCAGAAGTTCATACTTCAGAAAATGTGATAATAAGAAAACTCATAAAATTGTGTGACTTAATCCTAACAAAACTACCATACTATTGAGGGACACAGCAATAAAAGCTATTCTGGATATCAAGGCAATGGTATTATTTTATGGGAAGCTACATTTTTAATATGCATTCATTGGTGGTCTGGAGAAGTATTTATGCAATGGTTTTCTAGTCCAGTTCATTTCTATTTCCAAATGGGGACATAGTGGATCTAAAACTTGTATAAATCTGGAAAACTATGCTGAGGTGCCGTTATTAAAAAGTTAATTCTCATTCAAGACTACAACTAGATATTGGGTGAGCAACAGTTAAGGCTATCCTAGGCTCACTCAGTTGACCATCGATTAGACTAACTGCATGTCCCATCAATATTTATCTGCTACCTGTCAAAGACAAAATGTTTGAGCTACAGGGAGAGACTATTTTCCCTGGCGTGTCAGAGGCTGAGGGATGACCTTAGAGGTTTATAAAATCATGAGGTCATGGATAGGGTAAATAGTCAAGGTCTTTTTCCCTGGGGTGGTGGAGTCCAAAACTACAGGGCATAGGTTTAAGGTGAGAGGGGAAAGATTTAAAGGCGACCTAAGGGGCAACTTTTTCACACAGAGGTTGGTGTGTGTATGGAATGAGCTGCCAGAAGAAGTGCTGGATGCTGATACCATTACAACATTTAAAAGGCATCTGGATGGATATATGAATAGGAAGGGTTTAGAGTGATGTGGGTCAAATGCTGGCAAATGGGACTAGATTTATTTAGAATATCTGGTCAGCATGAACAAGTTGGATCGAAGGGCCTATTTCCATGCTATACATGAGGTAGTAGACTTGCTCGCCGAGCTGGTGTTTGATTGCAGATATTTTGTCATCCTGCTCGGTAATATCATCAGTGTGCCTCCAGTGAAGCGTTGGTGTTCTGTCCCGCTTGTTATTTATATGCCTTGGTTTGCTGGGTGGTTGGCATCACTTCCAGTTCTGTTTCTCAGTTGTTTGTATATCGGAAATGCGTTCGTTGATGGAGTTCCAGTTGGAATGCCAGGCTTCCAGGAATTCCCTGGCATGTCTCTGTTTGGTTTGTGCTATTAGGGATGTATTGTACTCGTTGAATTCATGTCCTTCTTTGTCTGGGTGCATTGAGACCAGTGAGAACTGGTCATGTCTCTTGGTGGCTAGTTGGTGTCCATGTATCCTTATTGTCAGTTTTCTTCCAGTTTGGCTTATGTAATGTTTCTCACAGTCCTTGCATGGTATCTTGTATATTGCAATAGTTTTATTGGTTGTTGGTATGGGATCCTTTTACAGTCATCAATAGCTATTGCAGGGTGGTTATTGATTTGTGGGCTACCCTGACACCTAAGGGTCTGAGTAGTCTTGTGGTCATCTCTGATGTATCTCTGATGTACGATAGGGTGACTAGTGTGTCTGGCCGTGCTGTGTCTTCTTGTTGTGTTCTATCGCGGAGATAACGGCAGATTGTGCGTTTTGGGTATTCATTCCTTTTAAAAATTCTGCATAAGTGCTCCTGCTCTGCTTTGCTCAATTCCAGGTTGCTGTAGTGTGTTGTAGCCCATTTGAATAATGTCCTGATGCAGCTCCGTTTATGGATGTTGGGGTGGTTGCTTGTGTAATTAAGTATCTGGTCCATACGTGTGGTCTTTCTGCATACACTAGTCTGGAGTTCCCCGTTGTTTTTGTATTCTACCATTATGTGTAGGAATGGTAGTTGGTTATTGTTCTCTTCTTC